CAACTTAGCGGGGGCCAGGGGCGGACTGACAACTCATGGGGCCCCCGGGCAATTGGGGATCATGGAGCCCCCGGGCAATTGGGGATCATGGAGCCCCCGGGCAATTGGGGATCATGGGGCCCCTGTGTCCTTGCCCACACTCAAAAAAAGCCTATAAAAAAAAGGTACCAGGGGCATTTCATGGGGCCCCCTACTGACCCCGGGCCCTCGGGCAGTGCCCGAGTGCTCGAATGGTTTATCCTCCCCTGGTGGGTGCTTACCATGTGGCCGTGGCTTAAAGGAACAGGCAAAGTTGCTTTTAACGTTTCCAGACAAAGCCTCCATGTACACGGGACACTTCTGAACGATGGAAACTGACTGCTGGAAAACGTAGGTTAAAAAACGTTGGTTTAGCCGCGTTTATGCGCGTTTGCGTTTAGAAGCATTTTTTAAAGATAACCTCAGGAGACCCTAAGGGATCATGTACACGGGGCGTTTGGAAAACTCTTCTGAACGATGGAAACTGACTGCTGGAAAAACGTAGGTTAAAAAAACATCAGTTTAGCCGCGTTTATGCGCGTTTGTGTTTAGAAGTGTTCTTTTATGAGAAGGGGAAAACTGTACAATATATGGGCATTTTGGAAGGTCTCCTGAGCAGGGGCGGACTGACAACTCATGGGGCCCCCGGGCAATAGGGGATCATGGGCCCCTGTGTCCTTGCCCAAACTGAAAAAAGCCTATGAAAAAGGTACCAGGGGAATCTCATGGGGCCCCCTACTGACCCCGGGCCCCCAGGCAGTGCCCAAGTTTCCAAATGGTCAGTCCGCCCCTGCTCCTGAGGTTATCTTTAACTGCTGGAAAACGTAGGTTAAAAAAAACATCAGTTTAGCCGCGTTTGTGCGCGTTTGCGTTTAGAAGTGTTCTTTTACGAGAAGGGGAAAACTACAATATGGGCATTTTAGAAGGTCTCCTGAGGTTATCTTTAAAAAAACGCTTCTAAATGCAAACGCTCATAAACGTGGTATGCAAACGCGGCTAAACAGACGTTTTTTAACCTACGTTTTCCAGAAGTCAGTTTCCATCATTCAGACTTTATAACTTTTTTTTTTTTTATGGTTGAACTGGATGAACTTTTGTCTTTTTTTCTGCCAGATTAACTATGTAACTAGAAGTGTCCTGTGTATATGGAACCAGGGGCAGACTGACAACTCATGGGGCCCCCGGGCAATAGGGGATCATGGGGCCCCTGTGTCCTTGCCCAAACTCAAAAAGCCTATGAAAAAAGGTACCAGGGGCATCTCATGGGGCCCCCTACTGACCCTGGGCCCTCGGGCAGTGCCCGAGTTTCCAAATGGTCAGTCCGCCCCTGCATGGAACCTTAAGATCCCACGTACATGGGACACTTCTGAACGATGGAAACTGACTTTTTAAAGATAACCTCAGGAGACCCTAAGGGCTCATGTACACGGGGCGTTTGGAAAACTCTTCTGAATGATGGAAACTGACTGCTGGAAAACATAGTTTAAAAAACTTCGGTTTAGCCGCGTTTGCATACCGCGTTTATGCACGTTTACGTTTAGAAGGGTTTTTTAAAGACAACCTCAGGAGACCTTCCAAAATGCCCAGAATGCACTGAGAAACGGTAAAAAATTAACTATTTCAGATATTTTGAGAGAAATAGAGAGAGCAGAAGCAGAGAGAGCAGTATGTGTTCAGATTAGCTGTCTTTTTTTCTTTTTTTTGTGGTGTTTGGATGTTCCAGCAGAAATTATTGCAGCGGCGTCTAACATATTTTCTTTCATGCTAAACCTCAAAGTATGGTGTACCGGGTCCATTTGGGTATCGGGAAAATGCTTTGCATGCATTTTTCATGATGAAAAAAGGCTCTGGACAGCATCTGGAAATGGATGAGTTAAAAAAAAATTAAAACGAAAACGCTTATAAATGCGGTTAGCCGTGTTTAGAAGCGCTTGGCGTTTGAAACGCTGATAAAATCTACTGCTGAATGCAAGTTTTCTGTGTTAAAAAAACGACTGTAAACTCAACTGCCTGTAAAGGACTGTAAAGGACGATGTGTACACGGGCACATAGGGTAACATTAGGGAGAGTTCAGGGGCTGCTGAGAAAAACGCTGAACAGCTCCTAAAACGTGAGTTTATCAGCTGCAGTGTACATGGAGCCGAAAGTCTTTCCCAATATAAGCTCACTCACAGTAACAGTTATTGTTACCATGTAGGCCAGGGGTACCCAAACTTTTGAAGAGCAAGGGCCACTTAAGTGATTTGGTAACCGGTCGCGGGCCACAATGAACTATGGGGTTTTACCCACCCCCAAAATCGCAAATGTAAATGAGTCCTTACTCTCCTGAGCCCCCTTACTCTCCTGAGTCCCCTGCACCTGTGGCTTTCCTGCGCTTTGCCTTAGACTTCTGTAGCACCCTCCTAGGTAGCTAGGGGGAGCTAGCGCAGGTTTTTTTTCAGCTAGGAAGGCTTAGTAGCAGCTGAGTCAGGAGGGGTGTTTTCAGGTCAGGGCTGAGAGTCTCTGCAGGTCAGTTCCCTGATACCTCCTTCTGCTCTAGAATCTTGGAAAAGATTGTACAAGCAGTGGGCAAGGGTGAGGAGGGGCTGGCCTAAAAACACTTAGGGGATCCTGGCCAATCCCCAAGCAAGAGGAGAGTTGGGGTGGAAGATGGAGTGAGGAGTCTGGGTGCAGGAGACTGGGAGGGGGCCCAGCTGGGAATGGGCCCACCTCCAGGCAGTGGTGTTGGAGAGGAGGAAAGCTCAGACCTCATCAGCCTCCAGAGCAAGGACCACTTGTGCAGCAGAGAAGGAACCAGCCCAGCGGAAGACCTGAAAGCAGCTACCGACCCACCAGCTCATAGGAACAGGACTGAGTAATCCTACACCCCCCGGGCAGTTAAAGGGGAAACGAGGACTCTGGTAGGAAACCTGGTTAGCTTTTTACCTGGGACTGTTTACCTTAAAGTGTCCAGGGATTCCCTCAGACAGCCAGATAGAAGAGGATTGTCGGGGGTCTGGGGTGGTATGGCAGGAAAGGCTGGAGAACTCTCCAAAAAGAGATTTGCCATGTAAAGACTTGTACAGAGTTCCAGGAAGTTGTCTTCAGTTGCCATCCCTTGGGCATCCCATACACCCCTTATCCCATCCAAGGACTTCTGTAGCACCCTCCTCGGTAGCTAGGGGGAGCTAGCTCAGGTTTTTTCAGCTAGAAAGGCTTAGTAGCAGCTGAGTCAGGAGGGGTTATTTCAGGTCAGGGCTGAGAGGCTCTGCAGGTCAGTTCCCTGATACCTCCTTCTGCTCTAGAATCTTGGAAAAGATTGTACAAGCAGTGGGCAAGGGTGAGGAGGGGCTGGCCTACACACTTAGGGGATCCTGGCCAATCCCCAAGCAGGAGGCTTGGCATGGGACCAAGGCAGCCTTTAAATGTGACAGAGCCTGCTTAGCAAGAGGAGAGTTGGGGTGGAAGATGGAGTGAGGAGTCTGGGTGCAGGAGACTGGGAGGGGGCCCAGCTGGGAATGGGCCCACCTCCAGGCAGTGGTGTTGGAGAGGAGGAAAGCTCAGACCTCATCAGCCTCCAGAGCAAGGACCACTTGTGCAGCAGAGAAGGAACCAGCCCAGCGGAAGGCCTGAAAGCAGCTACCGACCCACCAGCTCATAGGAACAGGACTGAGTAATCCTACACCCCCCGGGCAGTTAAAGGGGAAACGAGGACTCTGGTAGGAAACCTGGTTAGCTTTTTACCTGGGACTGTTTACCTTAAAGTGTCCAGGGATTCCCTCAGACAGCCAGATAGAAGAGGATTGTCGGGGGTCTGGGGGTGGTATGCCAGGAGAGGCTGGAGAGCTCTCCAAAAAGAGATTTGCACTGACAGGCGTTTGGGAAGTGTTTTTACCGTCTCGGGAAAATTCTGCACATTGCAGCACATAGTGCTGTTCAAACGGGAGCTTTAACGTCGCGGCAAAACGGACGCCTCTGATCGAGTCAAGAGGAGTTGAAGCCTCCTATTCGAGTCTATGCTGCCGCTCCGCAAACACCTGGCCGACGCGGTTGTGAAGCGTTTGCGTTAACACCATTCAAACTTCATTATAGCCGTTTGTGGGGCGTTTTTAACGCTTTGCAAACGCCTAGCAACCTCCGCTAAACCACGCATGCGGCGTTTATGGAGCGTTAAAAATGCTCCCCAAACGCCGGACCAACGCTTGTCAAACGCTATAGGGGCGCTTGGCAAGAGTTGGAAAAAAAAGTCAAGTGTGAACGAGTCCTAACTGACAGATCCGGCACAAAAGCATTCAAGCTCTATTTAAGCACTACTGATTGAGGCCAGGTGTGTAGCTGCAGCATGATCATGACCAGCGGTGTATTTAGGTTTTGTGCTGCCCTAGGTAACAAAATGGCCCCTATGGACGCTGACTAACTACACCCCCCTTCCATGGAGAGAGCCTGACCCTGACCCCCATCTGGGAGAGCCTTCCACTACCCCCATCCTTCCCTGGCGATAGAGAGAAAGACACCCATCTTCACAGCTCCGGACATCCCCGAGAACGAGAGTCAGGCTCTACATACACCATCAAGCAGTCTGCAACCCCTCTCAGATCCCACCTGTTTCCCATGGCGTACATGTCCCTTCTTCCATCCCTTCTTCTGGGGGGGGGGGAGGTGCTGCCCCCCTGAAAAATGCCGCCCTAGGCAAATGCCTTGTTTACCTTGTGGTAAATACGCCCCTGATCATGACAGAGGGCTGCATATCATCATCCAGCAGATGGCAAGTGTGAGCATGTTAGCACAGCAAATCTGAGCAGTCACACAAACGCAGGACAGGTAGGGAAACAAGCCTCCTGTGAACTGTGAGCAATGTGCAATCACAGGCAGATCATTACCATGAGTGTCCACCAGGGGTGGACTGACAACTTATGGAGCCCCCGGGCAATTGGGGATCATGGGGCCCCTGTGTCCTTGCCCAAACTCAAAAAAGCCTATGAAAAAGGTACCAGGGGCATCTCATGGGGCCCCCTACTGACCCCGGGCCCTCGGGCAGTGCCCGAGTTTCCAAATGGTCAGTCCGCCCCTGGTGTCCACATGACATGATGGTACTGACCGTTCCTTTTTACGGTTGGTCCTGGTCCCTGCTCCCACCAGTTGTCCTATCCGAAAGAAGAGATTTCCCAGCACAAGCGAAATAAATGAGATTTTGCCGGACTTACGTTACATTGCCGTAGTTATTTTGAAATGGGAAGAGCCTGCGCACGGGCTTAGGATACCCCTGGGTGGATCTCGCTGGGCATGCTCCATTGGGAAGCTCCAGGTCTCAGCCCAATAATGGTAGATCTTCAGTTATAGCACGGCTGGGATACAAGCAAGATTTTCACAAATACAGCTAATTATTTCATGAAGAAGATAATAAGGACATCGAATACTTTTTAATGATACTCTTAGCATTGAGAAGTACATTCACCGGCCACTTTATTAGGTCCGCCTGTTCAATTGCTTGGTAACATTGCTAATCGGCCAACCACATGGCAGAAACTCAATGCATTTAGGCATCTAGACGTGGTGAAGACAACTTTCTAAAGTTCAAACCGAGCATCAGAATGGGGGGGAAGAAAGGGGATTTAAGTGACTTTCAACGTGGCATGGTTGTTAGTGCCAGGCGGGCTGGTCTGAGTATTTAATAAAACTGCTGATCTACTGGATTTTCAGGCACAACCATCTCTAGGGTTTACATAGAATGGTCCGAAAAAAGAGAAAATATCCAGTGAGCGGCAGTTGTGTGGACGAAAAAATGCCTTGTTGATGTCAGAGGTCAGAGAGAAATTGGCAGACTGGTTTCAGATGATAGAAAGGCAACAGTAACTATATGTCCTATGCAGGGGCGGACTGACAACTCATGGGGCCCCCGGGCAATAGGGGATCATGGGGCCCCTGTGTCCTTGCCCAAACTCAAAAAAAAACTATGAAAAAGGTACCAGGGGCATCTCATGGTGCCCCCTACTGACTCTGGGCCCTAGGGCAGTGCCCGAATTCCAAATGGTCAGTCCGCCCCTGGTCCTATGGATTAACCTCCCTAGCGGTCTGATTATGTCCATATTTCTGTGCTCAAAGCGGTACATTTTTTTGCATGGAAATATGTAGTTTTTTATTGTAGGCCTGTAATTTTTAGGAAATTAACTCACTGAAATCTGTCCGAACAAGAGTCTAGTAAAACATTCCCCGGGTATGATAAAACTTGAAACACAAAATCATAAATTATAATTTAATAAGTAATCATAAAAAATAATAATATAAATAATAAATGTAATTCAATAATATAATCAAACCAAAAACACTGAAATGTGAAATAGAGCGCCAAGTTCGCACATCGCTGAGCTCAGTCGCAGAATCGTTTTCAGTGTCTGATGAGGAATTTCCCCCACCAATCATTATCACATCAATTCTGCAAGTGGTTCTGATTTACTATCGCTGTTTCTCTAGCCGGATCTAAAACCGCGTCTGACCTAAAGGGACGCTTTTTTGGACGCCATGGACGTTTCTCAGTTTCCAGGCAGAAAGAACAGTTAAAAATGCAGGCAGGGCGCCGGACAAAGCACTCGGGACAAAATGTATGTGAAATGGTTTGATACAGGAATGTTATACGATGTGATTTTACAGAAATGCCCGTAGCGAATAGGGAAGAATGGAAATAGCGCAGGGCATACATGACTAGGCCCAGAGTGGTGTAGGGAAATGGAAAGGGTTAAAATTTAGCTCCAAGGGGTGGGGAATGGATTGGGAATTACGGGATTGGCAGATGTGGAGTGTAGGAGGGGTCTGTGGCACCGTAGGGTGGGGGTTGCTGCGGAAGGGCGTCAGTTGGAGCTGGATGGGTGCAAGGACCAGAGCTTCATGTGAGCTCTTGGTCCTGAAAATTTCCCCCTCCTATCTGACCTGCGGCCATGGAGGCCCTTGTGGCACAGCTGCGGGTGGTAGCAGAAGAGCGAGGTATGGGCTGGTTGCAGGGCCGGGTCTCCTGATCTGTTGGGAGACCCGGGCTTGTCACCAGCCTCTGGAGCGCTTCAGGTCCGGCCCCAACCCCTGGAGCTCAGCGCCGCATTGGGAGCCCCCCTTGGGACCCTCCGGCCCCGCTGGCAGGGTGCTCACTGGCCTCTGCTAGTGGCGGTGCCGGGAGGAATCCCCGGCGATGGCGGAGCTCGGCGGTCGGGGTTTCGCCGAGTGGCCCCTCCTCCCGCCCGCAAGGAGAGGAGGACGTGGAGTGAGCTCGGCGGGCGAGGTTTCGCCGAGTGGCCCCTCCACCCCGCCCAGCATGGAGAGGAGTGGCCGTGGAGTGAGCTCAGAGGGCGGGGTTTCGCCGAGTGGCCCCTCCCCCCCGCCCGCACGGTGAGGAGGAGGACGTGGAGTGAGCTCGGCGGGTGGGGTTTTCGCGGGGTAGCCCCTCACCCCCGCCGCCCGCACGGCGTGGAGGCAGGAGAGGGAGTGGCTAAATTACCGGCTCCTCCGCTGACAATAGTACCTGTCCAGTTGGAGGGAGCTCGGCGCGGGAAAGCGTCAGCTGCGGCTGCTGGGCTGTCCCCCTGATGCGCTGTGGGGGTGGGCCCCCTGGACAGTCCGGAGAGCGGGGCTCCCAGAAGACGGAGGAAGAGGTGCAGCGCTGGGCGGAGTGCAGCTGGGAGTGCTGCTGGACGGGAGTCCAGGGCCGGCGACAGACATGGCTGGTGCCCAGAAGGCGGAGTTGGGAGCGGCACAACCCTGGGGCTGGACCCGTGGCTCCTGGGACCGGGAGGCCCATCCGGACGTCGAGCGATGGACGAGAGGTCGGTGGGCGAGCTGTCGGAACCCGATGCGGGGGCGACGGCTCGTCGCTCTTCCATCGATGGAGGCGGGAGCGCGCGGCTGATGGGGCATCTCCTGGGCAGCCTGTGATGTACCCGTTATCCTGTTCCTGTGTCTGTCTCCCTTTTCTTCTGCGTTGCGGATCTGCTGGGGCGGTCCAGCCGCCCCTAGGTGGTGCGGCCCCTCGGCGGCGTTCGTTGGCGGCGTTCCCCTGTCTGGTTTTGGTGGGGGTCATCAGGGAGGTACTTTCCGGTTTGCGGGGGATCTTGTTGCGGGCAGGCCGGTAGTGGGGCGGTGTTGGGAACCCCTGGGCCTGCTTCTGCGGTGGCTCCCGCCGGCCCGGTGGGACTGGGCTCAACGGTTCCGGGACAGGACGAGCGGGGTTAGTGCGGGGCCTGGGGGGTCTCTCTTCTTTCCTTCCCGCTTAGTTCTGGGGCGGCCTGGGGTGGTTACCGCGGAGTCTGGGGTTATATGGGTTCTGCGGTTCCTTTCCTTCCGCGGTTTTGGGGGAGGGTTTCGGGGTGTCCGGACCTGTCGGCGTGGCGGACGTCTGCGAAGGGGGAAGTGTACCATTTGTGTTTTGAGGGCCCCTTGGGTGCGCATTTCAGTCGGCCCGTGCGGGAACAAAATTTTTGGAACAGGGGAGTATGTGGACATATTCACGCTCTTGAGCCTTTGGAGCGTTTTCCGTTTGATGGGTCCCGGGTTGATGACGGTAGACGGGAGGCAATGCGAGCGGGCGGCGTTTTCTCGGCTTATTCCCCCGTACTTTTGCGGAATTGGTTGCAGGTTTTCGACAATCATGGCCAGTGTCATTGGGGAGAAAGCTCCGGAGGCATTTGCTTCGCAGTTGTTCTGTTACCTGGGACGCCATTATGAGGCTCACAGGGTCTGCGTGGCTTCGGGGTACGATGAGCTCAGTTTAGGCAGCGGAGGGCTGTTTGCCCGTACTTTTGCGTTGGGGACCACAAGAACATTGGCCTCTGGATGCGGCTCATGGTGCCGCCGAGGGCTCCTGGTCCATTTATTTCAGGGCAGAGGCCAGTGAGTTCGTTTTCCCCGGGACAATCGGCCACCAAGCGTAAGGGGGTTCTCTGCTGGCAGTTCCAGGAGGGCACTTGTCGTTTTGGAGGGTCCTGCAGGTTTAGGCAACGAGAGTTGTTCCGGGTGCGGTGGATCCCCATCCTTTCTCGCGCTGTTTCATGGTGGGGTAGAGGCCCTCCCGGGAGAGCCTGCGGGTAAGAGGGACGACTGCCGGTGCGGGTGTGAAAGGATGGAGCCTTTCTTAAATAGATATCCCGATCGGGCTGCGGCGGTGGGCTAGGGGCTGGCGGGCAGGTTTTTCGGATCCCCTGTACTTTGACTTGGTGGTCCCCCCCTTTAGCTCGGAATTTTGCTCGGTTACGGCCTTGCAAGCAGCTGAGGTGGTTTCGGCTAAGTTGCGGAAGGAAGTGGGGTAGGGTATCGTATGGGTGGGTCCGTTTACTTGTGCACCGATTGCGGATCTGGTGGTTTCTCCCTTGGGGGTTGTGCCTAAGAAGGAGCCGAATGCGTTTCGGTTAATTCACCACCTGTCCTTCCCTAGGGGGGGGGGGTCGGTGAATTGACGCTATAAGATCCGGAGTCCGTGTTCGGTGTCTTACCACGTCCTGATGATGCGTTGCAGTTCTGGTCTGGGTTCATCGGTATGGGCGCAGGTGCCCTCATGGCGAAGTCGACATTGAGTCGGCGTTCCGGGGCTGTTGCCGAATTCATCCGGACAGTTTTTCGTTTTTTGGGTTGCCGTTGGGCAGGGCGCGTTTTTACGTTGATAGGTGTTTTGCCCATGGGTGTGTTCTATCTCTTGTGCTGTTGTTTGAAAAGTTCAAGTTTCGTTCGATGGAGTGGGTGGTTCAGGATGTTTCAAGGGGTGAATTCGGAGGGGGGGGGGGGGGGGGGGGGTCGGTCATCCATTATTTGGATGATTTTCTTTGCGTGGGTCCGGGCCGGCTTCCGGGGTGTGCGCGGTTTTGCTTGCTACGTTGCAGCACGTTGCTGACCGGGATTCCTTTGCGGCTTGACAAGACGGAGGGTCCGGCTATCGGTGATGACTTTCTTGGGCATCGTTTTGGGATTCTGGCGCAATGGAGTGCCGGCTGCCGGAAGAGAAGCTGTTGGGCCCATTACAGGTGAAAATTCGTGCGGTTCAGGGGAAGCGTAAAATTCAGCTGCGGAGGGGGGGCGGGGAGGGCAGTCATTGTTGGGAA